ACTTCTTTGGTTCCTTCCAGTTGGAAAATTCTTTGGTGTTAAGCATCCTACAATTATGTTTTGTTTGTTTGTTTGTTTGTTTTTTAATATATTTTATTGATTTTTTTACAGAGAGGAAAGGAGAGAGATAGAGAGCTAGAAACGTTGATGAGAGAGAAACATCGACCAGCTGCCTCTTGCACACCCTCTACCGGGGATGTGCCCGCAACCAATGTACATGCCCTTGACCGGAATCAAACCTGGGACCTTTCAGTCCGCAGACCAACACCTACCACTGAGCCAAACCAGTTTTGGTTACAATTATGTTTTTGAAAAAAATTAGATTTTCATGTATCAGTCCATATTTATCTTTATTTTGAGTCTTCTTTCCCTTTTTCCTTTTTGTTTTGTTGGTATTTTTATGATTATACTATTATTTTGTCACTTGAATTCACACAAGGTCCTTAGATTGGAGTCATCCCTAGTTCATAGAAAGGGGTAGCAAAATAGGGGTTTACCCCGTCCTCTCCAGCACTACTAGCTCGTTGAGCCGATGGTTTCAACACGGACCACCCAGTGTACCTACTATGTGCCAAGCATGCTGGGGTATTGAACGAATGAAACAAAATCTGGTCTCCAAGGAGCCTTCAGCAGGTCTCAACCATTTCTGGGGCATGCCAGGCACATGTGAGGCAGCCACTCAGTACATGTGTGTAGAACAGCAAGGAATGCCTAAGGCACTGTAGGGGTGAGGGGAAAGAGGTTGAAATGTAACCAGAAAGAAAGGAGAGCCTGTACCATTTTATCCTTAAACCCTCCTGGGCATACAGCTCCAGGAGGGAAAAGAGATTTCTTCCCACAGGTATAAATAACTTCCGCCCAATGAATCCCCAGAGACCTTGGCACCATGGGGGCAGGGTGAGGGCTGGCACTCAGTTGCTCCTTCCAATTGAGAAGGAGTAACAGGGAGAGTTGGAAGCACTCCAGTTGTGCTCCAAGACCCTGAATTTAGCCTGTCTAGTGTGGCTCAGTGCTTGAGCATCGACCTATGAACCAGGAGGTCACAGTTCAATTCCCAGTTAGGGCACATGCCCCCGTTCCAGGCTCGATCCCCAATGGGAAGCATGCAGAAGGCAGCTGATCAATAATCTTCATCATTGATGTTTCTATATCTCTCTTCTTCTCTGAAATCAATTTAAAAATAGGTGGTTTTTTTAAAGACCCTGAATTTAGGAGATGTCAGGTAGTCTGGGGTTTCTTAGGTTGGAAGAAGGCCATCACCTTGTAGGTGAGCACTGAGTCACTAGACAGCAGGGTAGCATGGAACGTCCTCTCTCCTCCAGATGTCTTGTGTGTAGGATCATGTTCAGGTCCCCATCAGAAGCAGGAGGATGAGTGGGAAACCAGTGATGCCTATTCACTGAGCTGACTGCTCTGACTCCCAAGCCAAGCCCCTTCTCTGCCTTCCCTCTAACAGTTGAACACGAACTCCGCTCATCAGGTGCTTCTCAGGCTAAATTTGTATATTCAGGATACTTTGTGGTCCACAGAGGAAGAGTCCCTGAGTGCCATTATGAATCTCTTTACCATGAACCTACAGGCTGTCTTGATTGATCCCCAGAAGCCCTTTCTGTAAGGGGAGCTCAGTGCTGAGGGCCTATCCTGGGTCTACGCTGGACCTGCCAACAGGCCGCGCTGTGGGCTTGATGCCTTGACTTCTCCTTTTTCATCACTGAGATCACCTTTCACCAGGACTCCTGCTCCAGTATCTACAATGGTGGTTTTTTTTGTTTGATTTTTGCTGTTAATACTCACCTGAGGATATTTTTAGGGAGAGTGGAGGAGAGAGGAAAAGACAGAAAATTCAATGTGAGAGAAACATTGATTGCATGAGAACTGACCAGGGCCCAGGCCAGGGAGGAGCCTGCAACCAAGGTATGTGCCCTTGACTGGAATCAAACCTGGGACCCTTTTGTCTGCAAGCTGACACTCTATCCTCTGAGCCAAACCGGTCAGGGCTACAATGGTTTTTTTTTTTATTTTTTATTTATTTATTTATTTATTTATTTATTTATTTATTTATTTTTATCATCTTCTCTGATAGAGAAGCTGTACCTAATGTCAAGATCCCTTATAGTCTGGAACCCCCATGCCCATCCTTCTCCTTATTTCCATCTCTGTGCCTCCCCCTCTCCCCTGACCTTTCCCCCAAGTGGACACTGTCCTCCTGGCCCTCTGCCTGTCGCCAGCTGGTTCAGGCTTCAGGTTACACGTCAGGTCTCCTCACTCCAGCTTTTCTTCTTCCACTGATCATTCATTTAACAGATTACCATGGAGTGACCACTTCTGTGCATGAGTTAGTGTGCATGGCTGCAGGAGGAGTACACAGAAGTGTAAGATCACTTAAAGCTGCCCCTCTGCACGAGGTGCTCTCAGAGGAAATGAAGTGTGTCGTGCACAAATCCGCACGTGTCCAAGCAGCTCCAGGCCTGGAAGAGTGCAGAGGAGGCAGAGTATTCCAAGGGGCTCCATACTCTGCCCATCCCCCAGGCTCCAGCACAGGGACAGCGTGCTCCATGAAGCTCTCCTGGATTACTTCAGCTTCCTAAGTACATTTTATGAGAGTACTTAGTCCTAAGGCACATTTTATGAGATAAAGTCTAATAAGGGGCATCACCTGTCCCTCCCCAGCACACATCAGTGGTCTCCCATCACCCTCCTGCTTCTGACGGGGACCTGAACATGACCTCTGGAGGAGAGGACCACGCTGTCCTGGTTTCTCAGTTGGACTCTCTTTGAGAGAAGGGATAAGCATCTGTCAATGGGATTCAGTTTTCAGTTCCACAAACATTAATTGAATTCTCTCACTCTCTTCTGTCCCTAAATGCCTTGTAAATGAGCATAGCACAAGTGTCTCAATCAATCCTAAAATTCTAGAATTTTAGAGAATAAATTTAAAAAAATCTATTTTTTTAAAGTGTCAAATCTATACATGCTAATTAGGAAAAACGAAGAACTCAAAGTATCTCCATATGATTAACTATTGCTAAGAACTTAGAGTGTATGTAGGAAGGAATTTTAAAAGGCCATCTACACACCAACCCCTACCTGTGTGGCTCAATGGCTGAGAGAGACAACCTATGAACCAGGAGGTCACAGTGGATTCCTGGTCAGGTCACATGCCAAGTTGTGGGCTCGATCCCCAGTGTGGGGCATGCAGGAGGCAGCTGATCAATGATTCTCTCTCCTCATTGATATTTCTATCTCTCCCTTTCCCTTCGTTTCTGAAATCAATACAAAAATATTTAAAAAAATAAAATAAAAGGCCATCTAGTTCAGCACCCACATTTTACAAATGAGAACATTAAGATGGCTTTCAATATTTACTCAAGGTCAAATATTTAGGTAGTGGGATCGCTCAGGGTTCTAGCATCCTTCCCCAAGAAGATTGGAGGAATAGTGGGGCATTCTGACCCCGGTAAATAGGTGAATGAAGTCTTTGACTGGTACTAGGTTCCAACAGGGCAAAGAAGAAAATATTAATACAATAAAGACGTAAAGCATATCACCTCCATTTCGGATGTTTCACCTTGGTCCATAGTCACAAAGCTTTTTTTGTGATAGTGAAGCAGTCAGATTCGTTGTGAAAACACTACATCTTTAAATATATTTGAAACTAGAATGGGGAAAAGTGTTGAAACACATGAGGTAAGGTAATAGTAATTGTGCTCTAGGTCCAGGGACAGACAAGTGGCGTGGAAAGCCAAGTTTTCCGTGCAAGAGGGAGAGGGGTGGGAAAGAAAGCCAGAGCCTGGGGCCAGTGATGAGCTGGCCCCCCACCCAGTGAAAATTTCCCACCATGGCGTGCTCCCTTCCTGCCTCCCTCAGAGGGAGCCAGGGCTTCAGGCAGCAGAGTTCTGCAGAGTCTTGTCACCTCCCTGGTAAGTGATGTCACAGGTTAGTTACAAAGAGGCCCAGATCGATGGGCGACTTAGGCAGCGGATCGATCCCATTTCCGGGGAGAATTCATCCTTTGTAACCCGCAACGGGGGGGGGGGGGGGGGGGGGCAGGTGGCTTATCAAAAGAGGCTCAGGCTCGGAGGATTGAATGCGGCCCCATTCCCATCCCCATTCCTTCCCGGGGGGCCAGGGCAGGAACAGCAGGGACATAAACTCCTTTTCATGAAAGAGATCTTGGGGAGAGGAAGGAGTGAGAGGGGCAAGGAAAGGTAGGGACAAAAAGACAAAAATCCGCTCCAAGACGTAGAGCTTGGGTGGGGGGCGAGCTGGCTCCCCCCTCCTTCTCCCCCTCGGAAGCCACCCAGAGTTTCAGGGCCCCGGAGAAGTGGCCCAGGGCCGCGCCAGGCCGCCCGCCGCGCTCTGGGCTCCGGCTGGGCAGCAGCCCCCTCCCCGCCGCCGCGAGCCCCTCCCCCGGGCCCGAGCCCCTCCCCGCGCGCTTCCCCTCTGGTCTCCCCTCCCCTCCGCTCCCCTCCCCTCCCTTCCCCTCCCTTCCCTGCCTGCCCGGCCCAGCCTCCCTCCGCCTCCTGCGCCCACAGCCTCCGCCAGCGCCGAGCCCCCCGGAGCCGGAGCCGGAGCGCGGCCAAGGGGCGCCGCCGGGCCCTCCCCATCGCGCTGACAGCGGGCGCCGGGTCCCCGCCCCGTCCCCGCCGGCGGGACACACCCCCGCCCCCTCCGCGCCGCCAGTTCCCGCCGGACCCACCGGGCGGCGGAGCGCGGGCGGCGGGCGAGCCGGAGCGCGGCGGCGGCGGCGGCGGCGGCGGCGGCGGCGGGAGCGCAGGGAGCGGGCAGGCCCGAGGGGAGCCGCCGGGGCGCCGGAGCCCGCGCGCCCTCGGGGACCCGCAGCGCCCGGGGCCGTACCTGCAGCGCCGGGGGCCCGGGCGGCGGCCGGGACGCAGGGGCCGGTGGCCGCAGGCACTCGGGGAGCAGGAGGAGCCGGAGCCCGGGCGGCCGGGATGAGAAGGTGACGCCGCCGGGGGGCGCCACTCGCTTTGTGGGGGAAGATGCTCGCCTACTGCGTGCAGGACGCCACCGTGGTGGACGTGGAGAAGCGGAGGAACCCCTCCAAGCACTATGTGAGTACTGCCCCCCCCCAACGCCTCTGCCCGGGAAATGTGGGCTGGCCAGGGACCCCCGGCTGGCCCCCGGCCCCCCCGCTGTGCGTCCCGGAGCCGAGGGCGCACAGGGCAGCCGGGGCGCGGAGTTTGGCGTGCAGGGCCGCGGTCTCCAGGGCAGCTCTCCAGCCGCCCCCCCTCGTGCCTCCCCCAGCCCCGCGTTTTCTTTTTTTGGCGTTGGAGTTGGCCCGCGGTGCCCCGGTCTGTTACCGCGGCTGTGAAGTCCTTCCCCCGCCCCGAGCGGTGGTGGCTGGTGGGGGGAACGGTCCTCAGATCCTCGCTGGGAAGCCCCACTGGGAGGGAGCGTCTCCCCGGCCCTCCCGGGGGGCTGGGGTCCCCCGTGCACGCAGCCCGAGGCCGGCCCTGGGGGAGGAAGCCACGCGCTTGCACCCCTCTACCTTCCCCCCACGTTCGCCCCGGTCTCTGCCCCCCCCCCCCCCAGGCCCGGGTTGGGGTCAGAGGGAAGCCGCCGCGCGCCCCCCTGTCCCACCTCCATCCACCCTCCCCGCCCCGAGCTTGGATTTCTTCCTTCGTGAAGTCCTTGTGTCCGTAGGTGCGAGGAGAAGGGCGGCTTTCCCCTTTTATCCCTCCTCTGGACGTGACCCTTGACTGGGTTCATTTCCTCTCCCGAGGGATGCTCTCCGGCCCCAGACACCAGGAGGAGGCTGATGTTTGCTGTGGTTTCCGAGGAACGGCTGCCCCTCCCCCTTCCTTCCCCCCCAACTTAATGAGGAAGGGCTAAGGTGATGGAGCGGAGCTTGGGAGTCTGGGTGACACGGCTCCTTTGATCTCAGCCAGGCCTGGCGTCCCATCCTTCGCACCTTAGGATGCGAGCCCCGCATCCTTGTCGCCTGGGGACGCCCGGCCCCAGCAGCCTGGGCTCCCGCACCTGAGATAGAAGAAGCAGGCAGCCGGGCATCCCAAGCAGAAGGACTGCATCTTATTTTCAAATGAGACACTTAGAGGGGCATTCAGACTGCCCAAAGCATTAATTTTAACAATTAGAACAGGCTGTTGGTTGCTGCCCTAGACTGCACGCTGATTCCTCTGAAATGCCTTTTATTTCCCTGTTGGAAGGGAAACTGGGGTTTATGCTAATGTTAGCCTCAGGGGACTGTTTCTGCCTTTATGGCCAATAGCTCTGAACTTTGGGTTTCGTGTAGGAGCCACGTTGTGCTGGGCTCCTGTGGGGGAAGAAAGGTGGATCTTGGGGGCTGGTTCCTGACTAGACAGAGGTGGGTGCCTGTCGGGGGACATTTCTGGGCGTGGCCATAGAGTTGTTTCTTTTGCTTTCTTAGGCTCAGCAAACGACTCCCCCTGCTTTTCAAGAAAGCTCTTTTTTGGAGGACTTGGGTCACCCAGTGGCCACCCCATTCCAGGGACAGATGTCCGTGTACACATCCCAGCGCTTAGTGTCGTCAGCCTCCCTAATTTTTTTCCCTCAGATGTTACAGGCTAACTTTTAGGGGTTCTTTTTTCTACTCTCCAATTAAGGTCGGCACTGCTTTCCACAGATTTGCACTCTCTACTCCGAGGCCCCAGACAGGTGCTTTTCCAACTCTGGATTTTAGATAAAACATCAACTCTTACTAATCTGACAAATGATGTCCATCGTTATCCATGTAGGACATACTGGCGACCGGCCAGAAGGGTTGCTACAGGGACCAGGGAGGGATCCACTGCTCAGAGTTTAAAGGCAGTTCAATGCTGGGGCCCTGAGCAACTTTGGGTAAGTTACTTAACTTCTGTGGGCCTCAGTTTCCTCACTTTTAAAGCTAGGGCAATAATGGTCTACTTCATAGGGTTGCTGGGAGAATTAAATGAGATCATCCATGCAAAGCACTTAGCCCAGTTCTTGGCACATAAGAAGCAGTCATTAAATGGTAGCTTATTTTTGGTGAGATTCTGACTAAGAAAGCACTTTTGAAAACCAGCTATTAATGGTCTGGCAAAAAAAAAAGGGAGAAAGATTTTTGGTTTTAAGATTGATAATAACTTGTTTTATGTGAGAAATACAAAAGAAGTCTTGTCCAAATCCCTTGAAATGATCCTTTCCTCCCTTTTTACAGACAAACTGTTTTCCAGGACATCTCTGCTTCCCATGTTAAAAACCGACATTATGTTTGGGGCAGGGGATGAGGTCACTGAACAGATGGGGTCCTACAGAGCCATGAACTAGCGTTGTGGAAAACAGTTCAGGAGAAAGTGTTACATATGTGACATGGCGGAGCTGGCAGGGACCGACCCCAGGATTCATCTGGCTCAACCCCCGTCATTTTACAGATGAGGAAACAGAGCCAAAAGGAGTTGCAACTTAGCTAGTCCCAGCACCGGGGTCTGACTGGCCTCTGGCCTGTGGGGTGGGTTTCGTCCATTGAAGTGTCCCATATTTAGTTGGGGCTGACCGGGAAAACAAATATCTGGTGGTAACAAGAGATTTCCTAACACATTTGGGGCATACACGCATAGTGTCTAAGCGGGGGGTGCTCAGTAATAGAAAGTGTAGGTGGGGTCTACAACAGCAGGAGGAGCAGGTTGGGGCGCTGGGGACTGTGTCTCTGAAGTTTAGAATTTCTCGGCCCCTGCACGGTGGACACCACACACCGGAAGGTGCAGTGTTCTGGGTAAGGCAGTCCGGTGTGGGCAGCTGGCAGGACACACTGTGTCTAACTTGCCTATATTCTGGAAGCCCCTGTCCCGGAGAAGCGTGCCTTCTTCCCCCTGTCCTCCATGATGGTGAAGTCTTGAGTTTGTGTTTTGGCAAATTGCAGAGCAGAGCGATTTTCTGGGATGTGCATAGTAGCAGCTGGAGGGAGCTGAGGAGAGGCCTGGGGTCCAATCAGGAGGGCTCTGCTGGCTCCAGATGCTGGGAACACAATGCAGAGGTTCGCTCAGGACAACCAGCAAAGGGTGTGCTCTTCCCCGAGAATGAGGGGGAGCTGCGGGGACAGCCGAGGGTCTTGTGCTTTGGGTCTGTTTATGAAAGGCGGGCATGTGGCCTCCATCGTCTGGATAGTGCCATCAGTCCCTGGCTTCCTTCCTCTCTGCCAAGCCCCTGCTCGGGGTGCGGTCAGGGGAGGGTGGGCAGCTGCTGCTTAGGCCGGGCTCCCTGGCTTGGAGTTGGGCTCCTCTCGTAGCTTATAAGAGTTGCCACGGGGGAGACCTTAGGTAACCTGGCTCTGGCCCAGACCACTTGTGTTTAAAATGGCCCTGATGATGCCAGGTGCAAACTGCAGATGTCTTCCTTTGCAGGTTTTCCAGGTCCACAGAATTCTTTGCGCTCATGTATGTGCAGGTGTATGTCAGGACATGTGGAGGTGGAGAGAAGCTTGTTTACCTAAAACAAACAAGACGCTATTTGTTAGGATGTGGGAGGCGCTGTGCTTTCACTGTCATTTCCTTTCCTGATTGTTTAATTCAGACAAATGCCAGGCATGGATGTTCTGAGCCTTTAACAGGACTCTTTAGGGAATGCCAATAACAGCAGTGCTAGCATTTACCGTTCCCGGCGCCAGACACTTCACATGCATGATTTCATGTGATTCCTACCTGATCCATTGCCTGTACCCCAACATGGGCTTGGTTCTGTGATGCCTTTATACAGATGGGTTAACTGAGTCGTGGAGAAGTTAGAGATTGCCCAGATCTGTCTCTTAGTTCAGACAGATCTGAGTAAACTCAGGAGGAAATGACCCGAACACGGGGCCCTTCTCTCCTCTGGAGTCTGGCTTTGGAGAGCAGCCTCCGGCCCGCACAGCAGTGAGAGAGCAGGACATCCCTCGTGCTGGGGCAGGAGGTCACTGTGAGGCACGGGGCGTGGACCAAATCCGGGGTGACGTCAGGTTCCCAGTGATACCCGAGGTGATAAGTGAAAGATTGACCCTGTGGAAGTAAGTTGTTCTCCTGTGTGTTTAGATCATTACAGGTTTTTGCTTGGTCCTGGGAGTTACATTTTTAGGAATTGGCCCCAGACCTGTCCATTTCTCAGCCCTTCAGTTTTTCTCTTAGTCCTTGGACTTTGGGTCCAGCCCCACGGGATAAAGGATGTGCAGCTGCAGCATGAAAAGGATCTTCTCAGGCCCCGTTCCGTGAGGGCAGTGATCAGCAAATTGTGGCTCTCGAGCCACATGCGGCTCGTGAGCCGTGGTTTGCCACTCTGTTGTCTGATGGGTTTGCCGACCACTGCATTAGGGAATGAGTGGTGTTGGGCAGATCAGGGTTTGAATGCAGCCTCTGGCTCTTCCTAGCCACAAGACCTGGGGCCAGCCACTCTGGGCTGCCGCTTCCTCACCTATACCCTCATAGAGCTTTGAGGAAATTGACCTGAGATGATCTGGGGTAAAGCTTCCGCCATGGTGAGCACTGAGCAGACCCTCGTTTCCATCTGTTGTTCCTGATCACCAAAACAATGAAGTGCCTGTGGGACCTGATAGGTGAAGCTGGGAGAAAAGGAAAGACTGAGGCGAAAAAGAAGGCCCAGCTGTTCAGAGTCCGATGGGAAACTGGGCTACATGCCCCGTGGAAAACACCCAACATGCAAGAGAAACACATAAGCAAGGAGCAGCTGTTCAGACCTGGATGGCTTCCTGGAGCTGATCTAGGGATGGCTTCCTGGTGAGTTGGGAAGGAACATGGGTTGTGGGGTTCGGAGGGGGGCTGGTAGCGGGGTGCTCCAGGGAAAGGCAAGGTCAAACAGGATCCTAGCCCAAGGTCAGTGCCACACGTGGGTTAGCCCTCTTGCCTGCTTTCTCTCTCTCACTCATGAGGCTAGTTCCTTCTTCTCCAAGGAGGGAAATGATCTAGGGGTGATTCACATGTATGACAAGGCTCCCTGCTTATGAACAGACAACCACATCCTTCACGGCCGTTGGAATGGGGCGCACAACCAGCCATTTATCATCGCCCTTTTTAGAGCTGAGTGAGGTTTTGGGGGGTGGGGAGAGGGCAAGTCAGGATTGGAA